GTAACTGCTTTGCACTTTACCAGTTCGTACTTATGCCGATTCAAATGTTTGCAAATTTGTTCGGCGCACTTTGCCAGTTTGCACTTCTGCCAGTTTTTGTAACTGCTTCGCACTTATGCCAGTTCGCTTATATGCCAATTCGCACTTAAGCCAATGTTTGAAAATTTGTTTGACGCACTCATGTCAATTTGCACTTATGCTAGTTCGCACTTGTGCAAAGTTTTTGCAACTGCTTCGCACTTATGCCAGTTCGCACTTTTGCCAAATCGCACTTATGCCAATGTTTGCAAAATGTTTTGGCCAATTCGCACATATGCCAATTCGTACTTATGCCAGTTTTTGCAACGCTTCGCACTTATGCCAGTTCGGACATATGCCAATTCGTGCTTATGCAGCATCCCGAATGTACATCCGAAAATGTACATGCATCAACAGAAAAATAGAGATTGGCACAAATGAGTGTATATACATCGACTGACAAATAGAGATTGGCACAACTAAACGCACATACATCGACTGACAAACAGGGATTGACGCGATTACACGTACATGATTTGGGTTAGGGTTTGGGCCAGAAGTAATTCCGAAATTGATGCGCTCAGCATTTTTTAACTGTTTTGCTTTAAATTGTTGATAGAAACCAGGTTTTCTTAAATTTATCTTTGAAAAGGATTTTTAAAGAAATGGCGAATATTAGTGAAATTTTTTTAACTTCAACACCGAATTAGAGCACTTTCTGTTAATTTTCAGACCTATGTTTTTATACAATTCTTAATCAGCATAAAATTTTCTAACATAATAAGCAATTTAAAAAAAAATTGCTTATTATGTTAGAAGCTAGAGTAGCGCCATGAAATGATTTAAAAAACTAAGTTAAGTGGCAAAAATTAAACGAATCATTGGAAAAAGTGTAATAAAGAAAAGACATTAAAAAAATAATAATAATAATAAAGGAGGGGGGGGGAGCTGGAGTAGCGCCAGGAAATGATTTAAAAAAACTAAATTAGGTGGCAAAAATTAAACGAATTATTGGAAAAAGTGTAATAAAAAAAAGATGTTTTTTTAGAAAAAAGAACAAAGACAATTGTCATGCAATGTGTTTTTGTTATTATAACTTGCAACATTCTTGTGACATTCAACGTGAGTTTGCAAGTGTGTAATTTTTCTTTTTTCTACCTCTTTACCCTTGGTTGTCTATTAAAGTGTAATTTATTTCGCCGTTAAAGAATGTTTACATTACATATACATATATTAAAACTAATGGCAGGAGCAAGAAGAAGGCACATTTTGCCTTATCGCCGAGCCCCACATATAAAAAAAAAAACTCTACATAACCGTAACATACAAATGTATATAATATAAATATATAAAATATAGGTAAGAATTAAAACAGAAAGTAACTGAGAAAATTAAGAAATTCAAAATAGCAAATAACTAAGAATTGTCGAAATGCTAGCAACCGCTAATGTGGTAGGTCAGTTATTCCATTAAATAATAAATTTACTATATCAAAACAAATTTAGCCATTAAGACATCAATTTTTTAACAGTTAATAATACTTCAACGCTTTGTAATCTGTTAGTTACTCATCCATTAGTTAGTAATCATCCATCATTTGAAGCTAAATTGTAAATGTGAAAAGATTTCTAAATGTGTTTCTTGTCAAATGTCCCTGTTCTATGAAGCATACTCAATTCAAGTTTTATATGCAGTTGTACCATACTACTCGTAAAGTACTTAAAATATGCACAATGTAAATCTTAAGCTGAAGCAGAGGTTTTTGCTTGTTGCTGCATCTTTATAAGCTTGTTGCTGCATCTTTATACCAACTTGTTAAATTATGAAAAGTTAAGCATATAATTTTTTGCAAAAAGAATATTTTTGCAAATGTTTTACAGAACTAACACATTCATGTAAATTAAATTTTTTTTATTACAAAACTCTAATAAAGCATCTTAAACCTTTGATTAGATTGTGAAAATTTAAAAAAAGTTTAGCAGGATATTTTAACTTATATTTAAGTAGAATAACAATTGAATATTGTTAATCTCTTTGAAAGTTTAACAAAAGAAGTTTTATTTGCTTTTCTACTGGACAGTTATACAATTACATATAAGCTTTGATATTACAAGCTAGCTAGAGTAACGAATATTTTTTATACTTCTATACAAGAGGTCTTCACAAAATTAAAAAAAAAGAACATTTTGTTTTATTCGTTTTTTCAAAAATTACATAATTAAGTATTTATAAAATTTGAAATACAGAATATTTTTTATTAGGTTTTTTTTTCGTTATTTTAGAGCAGACAGATTTTTTTTTTCTTCAGGAAAAGTCTTCAGTATTTAATGTAAAATAGATTAATAGCATAATAAATATAAAACTTATCAAATGGCTATAACTTCGCTAGATTGATAGAAGTATAGATTAATAGAAGTATATCCTGTTAATTTTAAATTTATTTTAATTATCAAAAATTGGCAAAGTATTTTTTGATACTGGTTAACAAATTTTGACATATTTTATCGCGCTGGTTCCACTTTGTGAGACTTTTTATTCACGTAGTTTACTTGTACAAACTTTTTACTATAACTTTTACTTAGCTTTAGATCAAATGTTTTGCCTGTCGTTTTTTGCGCATGCGCTTTAGAATGTAAACAAAGCAACCCGTCTATATATATATATATATATATATATATATATATATATATATATATATATATATATATATATATATATATATATATATATATATATATATATATATATATATATATATATATATATATATATATATATATATATATATACATATATATATATATATATATATATATATATATATATATATATATATATATATATATATATATACATATATATATATATATATATATATATATATATATATATGTATATATATATATATATGTATGTTTGTATATATATATATATATATATATATATATATATATATATATATATATATAATTGTATATATATATATATATATATATATATATATATATATATATATATATATATATATATATATAATTGTATATATATATATATATATATATATATATATATATATATATATATATATATATATATATATATATATATATATATATATATATATATATATATATATATATATTATTTATTTTTTATATATATTTCAAATTTTTATTTAATTTTGTTTAAATTAGATTTGAGACCAAACATGACTTAATTTTGAAATATTTGATAATATTAGAGATTCGTTAAATGTATAAGCACCTCTTTAATAAAAAAAAAATAATTTCAGATTTAATTTAACATATGTTTATAATAACATTAATCGCATGAGTATAAATAAAATTATCATTATTACCTTGTTATTTTAAACTCAATTTATTTTCCTAAATTGTTGGCTAATAAAGCAAATTTCAAATCATGAAAATTTCTTAAGTTTAAAACATATTTTAACATTAGGAAACCAAAAATAAAACAGTAGAAGTATTTCTATATTAATAAAGGTACAATTAAAAAAATGAAAATAATTATAATAATTAAAATTAATTATAATAATTATATAAAAGATAAAACATTTTGTGAAATTAATTTTATTTAAACTAAGTAAAGCCAAATTTGTTAAAAAGTCACACATTTTGAGATTAATGTTTGACTGGCAACTTTTACATTCATTTTATGTTGTTGGAAGTGTATATGTCTGTTGCCGAGTTTATTGCTAAGTGTCAATCCTTCTGTTTTTTGTAGTTGACACAAGAGTACAATGTGTTCCCATTTAATATATATGACCATTATTATCATACAACACACCAATATCAGCAAGAGCATTTCTTGCCAATTTAAGCATATGGCATGCATCTAATATAGCATAAACAGGCCTGTTAGAAGATGTATTGTAAATCTTGGAGTAAAACTGATTTATTGTCACTCCAAATTTACAACCCAATTGTTGTAAGCAATCCATACCCGGTGGGAAATCGGCTAGCGAATAGCTAGCGATATTCGTTACGATTAAGACAGCGATTTGGCCACGAGGATTGTTACCTTTATAAGCTAGCGATCCGCTAGCTAAACAAGCTAGCGAATAGCTAGCGATATTCGTTACGATTAAGACAGCGATTTGGCCACGAGGATCGTTAGCTTTACAAGCTAGCGATCTGCTAGCTAAACAAGCTAGCGAATAGCTAGCCATATTCGTTACGATAAAAACAGCGATTTGGCCACGAGGATCGTTAGGTAAATAAGCTAGCGAATAGCTAGCACTAAGTCGTTACGATAAAGACAGCGATTTGGCCACGAGGATCGCTAACTTTATAAGCTAGCGATCCGTTAGCTAAACAAGTTAGCGACAAGTCGTTACGATAAAGACAGAGGTATGGCCACGAGGATTGCTAGCTAAATAAGCTAGCGAATAGCTCGCATTAAGTCGTTACGACAATGACATCGATTTGGCTAGAAAATCTCGGCTAGGTTAGAAGATGTGCTCAAAGAATCGCGTGCTATATTTTTTAGGGGAGTGAATTATAACCATTAAAATAAGATTGCATTTATAACAAATTAAATTCAAAATGTTAATACTTGTTTCTTTTAAAAGTTATAAATGTTATAGCCATTATAAAATGTTAAAAGAAAAGTTATAGATTACTTTTGAAAAATAAAAAGTCATTAACAACTAAATGATTTTGCCTAAATTAAATTTATAATTTCAAAAGATATTTAAAAAGATAATAGAACAAAAATTCTGTCAAATTTTAGTTTTTTTTAAAATCTTTATCAACTTTTTTAAATATCAATTTTAAATATTTGCTAAAAAAGTTGTCACAAATAAAATATTTCAAAAAAGAAAGTCAATAAAAAATAATAGAACAAATAAAAAAGCAAAAAAATAAGTTAACTAGAATCACTGCATGAGTCAGTGTTTAAACTTTTTTTTCTAACACGACTGTGTATTTGTATATCACTTGTTAAAGAAGAACTTCTCTTTCTTGCAGCAAAATAACGATCTTCAGACTATTTCAAGTGTTTCGCAATTATTGTAGTCATACTGGATTCAGTGGCAGTTGGAAATAAACAGTAAGCTGCATCAAAAATCAAACTTTCGACTGGTCCTATAAACCTACGCTTTTTATCTGCACCAGTTCGATTAATGCTGCAGCACAGCTTGTCTGTTAAACAAGCTTTTAAAGCATTTTTTAAAAAGTCACTTACATTTCTCCCATCAATTTGCTTTAACTTTCTGCAAATGATATCTTTATCATTAGAGTTAAACTCTTCAACTGAATAAGCTGGTAAATAATCTATATTAATATTTTCTTTATTACCATGATTAGTGTCTAAAATTGAACGCATGGAACGCATTTCTGTTTCCAACCCACAAAGTTTTCTGTACATGGAGTTCACTATAAATTGAATGCCTTCAACAGTATTGGGTTCAACATTTGCTTTCCGAATAAAGTTATTTTTTTGGTCTATCCCAGTTTTTTGAGATGGTAAAGAAAAGGAAGAAGATGAATGCAGTAACGGTTGAGCTTGTGAAACAGACTGCATTTCTGATGGAAACACTATCTGTGTAACTGGCAAGTCATCTACTTGATCCATTGAGGCAGAGGGACAAAAAGTTCTAAACAAGATTAACAATGATTATAAATACATTCACAATATTCTGATTATATTATACTTTTTTTTTTTTTTTAATTAAAAAATGGTAACTAAAAAAAGCAAATACACTATAAAAATTAAACAAAAAAAATATTATTTTTACGAATGGGATAAAATTTTAAAATGTATACTGAATCGGAATCAGGAAGCTTTGGTGGCTTCCATAATGGTAATGATGGTAAAGGAGGTTCTTCAAAAATAATTTTTTTTTTCTTTTTCTGTTTTGTTGACTTAAAGGAGTTTTCTTGTTTTGTTTTTTTTTGATGTTTTAAAATCAATTTCTACTTCTGATTCTGCAGTAAGAATGTGCTAAAAAAAAATAACTTTTTTAATATACATACAATCATAGCTTTATACAATATACATATCATAGATCTTCCATGCAATATTTTAAAAATCCAGAGATTTGTTTGGGTAAAATAACCGGAAAATATTTTCTCTTATTTTCCTCTTATTTTTGCTTATAGCTGAGTTTTTTCTTTTTTTTTTTTTTCAAATTTTTCTTTATTTTTTTATGAGTGATGAGTGAAAAAGCTTATAAAACAAATAGATGTATTTAAACTTTTAAGTATAGAAAATGTTTTAGATATCCAGCACAAAAAAAGTTACAAAAATTTCCAGAATTCTGGAAATATCCAAAAAAGGTTAATCCTTGACATATACAAAAATCTGTTACTAGAAAAGGACAAAAGAAATCATAATAAATACAGCTCATAATCAACTCAACTTTACCTAAGTTAAATACTCAACACATTTTATGCAATGCTTTGTGCATTGATTACAATAAAAATAATTTATTGAGTTAGTTTAAAAATGCTCACATTCAAAGGTGGGCCGAAACTACAACTGTATAAAAAACTATCGACATTCCGTGCTAAAATATAGATAGCTAAAAAAAAGCTGCGATATGTAGCAAGCAAATAGCTATAGACTTTTTGTAATCTTCTAGCTAGCTTAAACGCTACTGTATTAGGCACTTCAACATTTTTAGAAAAAATGTAAAATGAAAACAAAACAAACTTCATTAGTTTGAACTAAAAATCAACAGTTAAAAAATAACAAACTTATCGTTTTATTATTATTAGTTGAAAATTTGTTTAACTTTTAAACTACAAAATTAAAGCTTTTTATTGTATGATTTTTGAGGTTTTCAGCAATTTAACGTTTTTAAGAATCGCATCAACGTTTTTGGTTTTATACAAAAGCAAAAACGTTGATGCGTTTAAACAAGACCGTTATTATTTAAAACTAAATATGTAATACCAAAAATTTTATAGTAAATGGAATTTCAATAATTAGGAAACAACCAACATTGGACATAAGTCTGTGACAACTTTTTTTAAACATTTTATTTAATGGTAACGCAAAAAAGGGTTTTTAAAAATAATAAAATGATTTTAAAAACTCATTTTATAAAACATAAATATCGTATAACAAGAAAATGATTTTAAAAGAACTTTAAATGACTGTTTAAATTAATATTAAACTGTTTAAATTAATATTATTTAAATAATATTTTGAATTTGAATTATGTATGAATCAACCTTAGCCCCTATATTCATTTTGTTAAATTTTAAATATTGCCTATAGTGAGGAAAAAGCAAGTAAAAATATCTCAAAAACGCTCAAAGTAACCCTCGTAAAGCTCAACAGCAAAGTAACGCTCGAAGTAACCCTCAAAAACGCTCAAAGTAACGGTTTACGGTAACATAATAAAAACTAAAGTAAAAGAGGAAAATGCGAGTTAAATTATTAGTCCTACATATAGATCAAATAAATGAAATGTAATTACCGTTGCAACTTGGCCCATCCGTTTAGAGCTTTGAAGAAAGCTGTTGCATTCCGAAGGTTTATCTTTAGATCTTTTACATGCCATTTTTGATATCGATATTGATATTTTTAAAACAATATGAATAGTAGAGTGATACTGCGAAAAAAGAAATATCGATAAAATTGTTGGTTATGTATAGTAAATTTCAATATGACAAATTAAGTCGTTAGTAAAATATTGCCAAAAATCATTAGTTGTATAACTGGTAATGCGGTATACTAAATTGCGTAATGCGGTATACTAAAGTATGTTAATTAAAACTTCTAGACAGCAATTTCATGACACGCGTTAATGCGTTTTTAATCGAGAAAACAAAAGTATTTAGATTTTTTAAATGAAAAATAAACTTTATTATAATATAGAAATAACCCAACTGTATTATAAAAATTAAAGTTTATATAGTTTTTTAATTTTTTTTTACAGATATAGCTATACATATATATATATATATATATATATATATATATATATATATATATATATATATATATATATATATATATATATATATATATATATATATATATAGATATATATATATATATATATATATATATATATATATATATATATATATATATATATAGAGAGAGAGAGAGAGAGAGAGAGAGAGAGAGAGAGAGAGCGAGCGAGCGAGCGAGCGAGAGTTCTATAAATTAATGGCTTTGAGAGTACGGAAGGTTAAAAATGATTCTTTTGACAACAAGTTACGTCACTTTTAATTACTTTTGACATTTCCGTGTTGTCATAAAGTTAAAACCATTAACTTAATTATTTTTTAAAAAAACCGCAAAAACGCAAATTTAATTGACCAGAATGTTTTTAAAAACATTAAGAATGTTTTTGAAAATATAAACAATGTTTTTTTTTATTTTTTAAATAAAATGTTTTTGTTTTTATTTTTTTTAGTGTAAATCATGTGCGAGTGTTGCTATATTGACTACCTTATAGCCTGACTCGCAAAGGAGTGCTGCTACATCGACTGAAGGTTTGGTTTGGGCAGTCAGTCTATCAAATAATAAAATAAAAATAAATAAAAAAATTCCGGTCTTGCATTAAAATTATATACATATATATATAAATATATATATATATATATATATATATATATATATATATATATATATATATATATATATATATATATATATATATACATATACATATATATGTATATATATATATATATACATATATATATATTTATATATATATATATATATATATATATATATATATATATATATATATATATATATATATATATATATATATATATATATATATATATATATATGACGAGATTGTATTTAGTAAATTAAAAACACCATCTAAGTTTAATTATAAATAATAATATTGTATTTAGTAAATTAAAAACACCATCGATGTTTTTAATTTACAAAATACAATATTATTATTCGTAGTTAATCTTTACTAAATAAAATATTATTATTTATAGTTAAAACTTACTACGCTCATCTACCATCTGACCAAAATTTTATTTCCATACGTCTGTAACAGTGCGCATAAACTACAACTGTTTAAAAAACTATCGACATTTCGTGCTAAAATATAGATAGCTTATAAGCCCTAATTTGTAGCTAAAGAATTTTCGTTATCTTCTAGCTAGCTAAATCACAACTATATGCAGCTATCGACATTTTGCATTTAAATCGATTGCTAAAAAGCTGCGATGTGTAGCTGTCGACATATCATAATAAAATCTTTACTTTTAAAGTTCAATTATTATTAGCATTATTTATGGCGACCTTGTAGCTAGCTAAAAAGGCTTACAAATATGAAACTATCGATAAATCGTAACAAAATCGTTGTCAATAAAACTGCATTATATAGCTAGCAAGTAGCTATCGATTTGTGGCTAACTTGTAGCTAGCTACAAAGCTACAATATGTAACTAGTGATAAATCGTAATAAAATCGCTATCTAAAAACTGCGATATGTAGCTATCAACTAGCTATCAATTTGTGGCTATTTTGTAACTAGCTACAAAGCTACGATACGTAACTAGCGATTAATCGTAATTAAATCGTTAGCTAAGAAGCTGTGATATGTAGCTATCGAATAGCTATAGATACATCGCTATCTAGTTGCCAGCTAAACAAATGCGATATGTAGCTAGCGTCATTTTGTAATAAAATCGCTGTCTATAAAACTGCGTTATGTAGCTATCAACTAGCTATCGATTTTTGGCTACCTTGTAGCTAGCTACAAAGCTGCGATATGTAACTAGCGATAAATTGTAATAAAATTGATAGCTAAGAAGCTGCGATATGTAGTTATCGAATAGCTATAGATATATCGCTATCTAGTTGCCAGCTAAACAAATGCGATATGTAGCTAGCGTCATATCGTATTAAAATCGCTGACTAAAAAACTGCGATATATAGCTAGCGATGTATCGTTACAATATCGCAATGTTTAAAATTCAATTATTTTCATAATTATAATAGATCCAACACTAAAAATCAAATTTTTAATGATGTTAAAGACTTAGGGAAAGAATTAAATAAGAAAAAAAAAATCGCTCGAAAATCGCTATAAAGCTAGCTAGTCGCTAGCTAATCGCTAGCTCGCTTCCCACCGGGTATTCACTGGACTTCCATCACACGTCAAAGTGTGAACTCTAATGTTACTTGATTCACACTTTTGCAAGCAAGTCTGAACCAATGCTTTTAAATTATGCCCTGTCAACCTATGAATAAGTACATAACCAACTGGATACTTCCAATAACTTTGCAAACCAACAAGAAAAAATACAAGCGCTTCAGTTGCTGCATCTCGATACATTATATCATTTTCAGCAAGCACTTTCAATTCATCAAACACAGCATTATTAAAAACAGGGTCAAAACTCACAGATGATGTCCAATTGGACAATGAACTTGGTGCAGGCAACTTAAAAACTGTACGCAAATATTCGTAAGCACGAGTTGAATAAAACTAAATAGTTAAAGCAAACTTTTTAACTTCTTCTGAATATCGTTTGCCTGTTGGATCTCTTTTTAAATTTTTAATTCCATTTGTAAACATATTAGCTGTAAGTCCTGAAAAATTTTCATTTAAAAAATTTGCTGCGTATTTACAAATCCATTTTTTGTCTTTAAAAGATTTAATAACCTGAGATAAATTATTAATCTTCCTTGATTTGCGACGCAATTTTTGTTGTAAACACTTAACTTTTTTTTTCAGAAGCTGTTCGTTTTGTGATTCAATAAGCTGTTTCTTATGTTCTCTTTCATGTATATTATTGTCACCTAATGAGCAAGCATTACTTGTGGTACTGGTCTGAAATATTTCTTGCACAATTCTTTTTTTTGGTAACTTATGATTTTTCTTTTCATGAAGTAAATGCTTTGGAAAATTGAAAACAGAGGGTATGGCATTGGGACGCAATTTCTTTATTTCATATCCAGGGCGTACTAGAAAATCTTCTGTAAGAAAATGTTCACTACAGACATAATGATGTTTTTTAGAAATAAACTTATATCGTTTCAGTGCAACTAGCCACAACTTGCTTCTATTTTCATCTTTTAATGGAAACCTAAAAATAATATGAAGTATATAAACATTCAGTTTAACAATTGCTAAAAATCAACTGTGTAGTACATTGTATTGTAATTATACCTCACTTCTATATAGGGTTGCCATTCTCCTCTTTTTTCCGTAGGAGAGCGCAGTGAAAACTTCAATTTTAATTAGTTTAGCGCCGCATTCTCCTACGGAAAAAAGAGGAGAATGGCAACCCTACTTCTATAGCAATTATACCTCACTTGTATTAAAATCTGTTATAGAACATACATGAATAATTAGTGTTCTATTATACAATTTATTAAGCTTTATAACAGTTTTCTATACAAGTGAGGTAACTTTTTTTGTTAAATATAACTATTATTATAATAGTAATACACTAATAACAAAACAATATAAAATAATACATAATATAAAACCAATAATACACAATTAAAAATATGCCTAACAATAACTTATACAAATAATGACAGTAATACACTTTAAGTATAAGTGTATTATTAGTATAGTAAGTACAAGTGTTTCAACATACCTGTGAAATTTCCTCAAGTCCGGCTAACGCACTGATCTCTATAATAACTGGATAGCGCATCTCCTAAGAAAATAACGTATTTTTTGAAGCCAATTTATTTTCACCAGCGCCATATTGGGAGGTCCCACGGATAAAATTTGTTTATAAGAAATATTATGAAATATTATGAAAGAAATATTATGAAATAAAAAAAAAAAAAAAAAAAAAAAAAATTATGATAAAAAGAAGAGATTATTTAGCTAAAAAAAGGGGAAAATATATAGACTTTACAAATGAAAAAGAAAAAGAACTTAAGGATATTAAAAAACAGATCAGAAGCCTTATAAGGAAGTTTGAAATAGAAAAAGGAACAGAAGCATTTCATAGCAAAAACCCTAAAGATGGTTGGAAATATATTAAGCAAATGTGTTTCAATACTAAAGATAAAAATCGTACCCTTGATAAAAATACAATCAATTTAGACAATCTAAATGACCATCTAGCTTCAATAGTTCAATGCAAAGACAGGACTTCACTTGTATGGCCAGACGGATGTGATCAAATCAACAGCTTTAGTTTTAAGAAAGTAAAAATAGAAACCGTGTTGAACGTACTTAACCAAATAAAAAACAACTTATCAGCTGGGCATGATGGACTCTCAGCTTTTTTAATCAAACGAATCGCCAATTCTCTAGCAACAAATCTAACCATCATTTTAAACAAATCTATAGATGAGGGTGTATTTCCTGACATCTGGAAAAAAGCTAATATTACAACAATATGGAAGGGAAAAGGCAGTAAATCTGATCTGGAAAACTATCGCCCAATCTCAGTATTACCATTACTTTCGAGAGTTTATGAAAAAATAATATGCAGACAACTATCCGAATATAGTGAAGCTAAGATATTAATACCAATCCAGCAATTTGGCTTCAGGAAAAACTCCAACTGTGAAACAGCATTAATAACAGCAACTAACTTCTGGTATAGCTCGCTAAATGAAGGAAAACTTGTAGGCACCCTATTAATAGATTTAACAAAAGCATTTGACAGTGTTCCACATCAAAACCTACTAAATGAGCTTGCTAAAATAGGACTTAGCCAAAAAGCTGGTAAATTATTTCAAAATTACCTAGAAGGAAGGGTTCAGAGGGTGAAAAACGGTAATAAGATTACCCAATGGAAGTCGATAACAAGAGGCGTACCTCAAGGTGGTGGTCTTAGTCCTGAACTATTTAAAATCTACATGAGAGAACTTCCACAAGCATTAACAACTGAATCTCATTTATTTGCAGACGACATTACCCTATCAGCTGCAGACAGCTCAATAGAAGTTGTCACTGAGAAACTAAGCAAAGCATTTCAAGATACAAATAAGTTCTGTGTTGATTATGGTTTCACCATCAACTCCAGTAAAACGCAACTTATAGTTTTCAAATCACCGATAAAAAAACTTCCTGATAACATACACATTAAAATTGGAAATATTGAGGTTCAACCAGTAACTCATGTGAAGCTATTAGGGGTCACTATAGATCAACATCTCCAATTCAAAGAACAAAAAGATTCAACCGTTAAAAAATGTCACTCTAGTATGGGAATATTGGCAAAAGCATCTGTCAGGCTTCCAAGGGAACTTTTGAAAATTGCGTATACAGGACTTATACGAAGTCAACTAGAGTATGCCAGCATATTGTACCTTGGTCAATCCAAAGCACAACTAAAGAGACTTGACGTTATACAAAAGCAGTGTGTGCGAATTGTATGTCACAAACCTAGGAACACTCATTCAGCTCCCCTTTTGGAAGAACTAAAGCTTGACACCTTGGGGGAGCGAAGAAAGGTTCATGCAACAAAAATAGTAATGTCGGCATCGTCGGGAGTGTGCCATCCATCTTTGGCTAATATGTTTAAAATGAACGATGACTCAAACTTTATTGTCAAAAAAGCGGCGAATCGACTAGGAAGTAAAGGCTTTCATATTATAGGGGCCAACATATTCAACAAAGTTGGCTTCTAATATATCCATCTTGCTATGCCATTGGCATATGCTACTCAAGCAGTGGAAGAGGAACCGGAAACAAAAGAACAAAAAAAAAAAAAAAAAAAAAAAACTTTTTCTGAATTTATTTTATAAATTGTAAAAGTAATCGTAATTTTAAAGGCAAAGTTGTTCAACTGTAATTGAGTTTAAATAAAAATATATAATAATAATATAATAATAATGATATTTCTTTTTTTAGTTGCTTAATTTCACTTTTTTTTATATAATATAAATTCAAATTTAATTAAATATAAGAGAAATTTTTATATCATTATTGTATATATATATATATATATATATATATATATATATAATATATATATATATATATATATATATATATATATATATATATACAATATTATATTTATAATTTTATATATAATATAATTTATAATATAATATATATTAATTTATATATTATTTGTAAATTAAAAACATTATTAAAGATATTCTTTAAATGTCTGGAGAAAATTCTGTAAAGCGAGGGTCACAATGTTGTGCATTTGGTTGCAATAAGAGAAAGTATGGTGGTGGTAAAAGAAGTGATAGCGATGGACCTTCTGATGAAGAATCATCACTAAAACGAAAATTTCCTAGAACGTTTCATAAGTAACTTTCTTAATTTTTCAATTCGTTTACTTAGTTTACATAATGTAAGCAAACTAATGTAAATTACATTAGTTTTTTTACATTATATAATATATAGTTTTACAACCAAGGGAGAATTATACAAAAAACTTAATTAAATATTACACGCTTTTACTACTTAATTCTATTCAGATTTCCTTCTAACACTGAAAAAAGAAAAGAATGGATCAACAGAATACATCGTCAAGAATGGAGTCCAGGAGTTAGCAGTCTGATATGCTCTGATCATTTTTTGGAAAAGGATATTGACAGAACTGGACAAACAGTTAGGTTGAGGAAAAATTCTTTGCCAAAAAGATTTAAAAATTTTCCAGACCACTTAAAAAAGGTATATGATCAACCATGGTTTTATTTATATTCTAAAGGCTATTTCTATATGTACCTATGTTCTATATGTACCTTTTAGTTCTTAATTACCCTATGCAGTGTGCTAGAGGGTTTATAACACAACTGTAAGGTAAGCAGCTAAAACACTGTACTTGTCATAACTTACTTTGATGAGTACATGCTATCATTTTATAAATGCTGCATGAACTATTAGCTAAGCTCTGTGAGTAAACACAACTTAGTGGTTCCTTCTAGTAGTACAATATAAAAAATAAAACGATTATATATATATATATATATATATATATATATATATATATATATATATATATATATATATTATGTATATATATATATAAATATATATATATATATATATATATATATATATATATATATATATATATATATATATATATATATATATATATATATATATATATATAGTATATATATATATATATATATATATATATATATATATATATATATATATATATATATATATATATATATATATATATATATATACATACCTCATGTATTTTTTAGACAACGAAAGAGAGAAAAAGTCCTACTGAAAGATGTATTTCTAATTCTGAGATAAGTGATTCTGAAACTAGTATTTTACCTATCTGCATGAAATTTAGCTCTCCTATAAAAACATGTAATTCCATTTTAACACCAGAAAAACTGTTAACAGATCGAAAAATCAAGATCATTCAGTCTTTATAAAAAAAGGTAAAAGCAGAGCAGCAAAAATCTAGAAGAATGAAAAAATGTATAACGTCTCTTAAATCAGTCATAAAAATACTACATCAAAAACACAAAATATCATCAAATTGTGAAGAAATGCTATCAAAAACAGTCCCCCTTGCTGTAGCCAGAAGAATGATAAAAAGAAAAAATAACAATAAGGGATGTCAATATTCAGAAGAAATTAAATCGTTTGCACTTACCCTACAGTTTTATTCAAGTAAAGCTTACGAATATGTGCGAAAAACATTTAATTTTAATTTACCACATCAATCACAAATAAGAAAATGGTATGGCAAGGTCTCAGCAGAACCAGGTTTTACAAAACCAGCATTTGCAGCACTTAAAAATAAGGTTAACGAAGCTGAAAAGTTAGGGTCTAAAGTCATTTGCTCGCTTATGCTAGATGAAATGGCTATTAAAAAACACATATCATGGGATGGGAAAATATTTAAGGGGTATGTTGATCTTGGAAATGGTATACAAGATGATTCATCTCCTGTTGCAAAAGACGCTCTAGTTCTCATGGTGGTTAGTATAAACAGTTCATAGAAAGTTCCATGCGGATATTTTTTTATAGATGGTTTAAACGGCGCTGAACGAGCAAACATTGTAAATATATGTATAAAACGATTGACAGATGTTGGTGTTGAAGTTATATCCCTAACATGTGATGGACCCTCGTGTCACATTTCTATGTTATCAAACCTTGGTGTTTCAATTAATGCTTTAGAAATGAATTCATCTTTCACTAATCCTCTTAGCTCAAATAAAAAAATTTATACTCTGCTCGATATTTGCCATATGCTAAAACTTATTAAAAATTGCTTGGCAGAGTGATTTTTTGGTTGATAATGCAAACATTATAATATCATGGAAATATATAGTGTATCTTCAAATGCTGCAAGAAAATGAAGGATTACAACTCGGAAACAAATTAAGACTGGCACATGTCAATTGGAGGCAACAGAAAATGAAAGTGAATCTTGCTGCTCAAGCAATTAGTTCAAGTGTAGCAAATGCAATAGTTTTGCTGCAAAGATCTTAAATTGATACAGTTTCAAGGAAGTGAAGCAACTGTCAATTTTATTAGAATATTTGATAGATTATTTGACATTTTGAACTCACGAAACCCATTTGCCAAAGGTTATAAATCACCATTAAAAATGAGTAATAAGCATTTGTGGGATAAATTTCTTGATGAAGCATATGAATACATTTCAAATTTAAAAGACTCGTCTAAAAAACTATTGCATACAACCAGAAAAAAAACTGGATTCATCGGATTTTTAATGGCAATTAAAAGTGTTAAACAGGTTTTTAAAATATTATAAAATTATAAATAATAAAAATGACTTATATATTTATATATATGAATATATATATATATATATATATATATATATATATATATATATATATATATATATATATATATATATATATATATATATATATATATATGAATATATATATATATATATATATATATATATATATATATATATATATACATATCTGTGTTTGTGTATTTAGATATTTTATAACCTTGTTGAAATTCCTGAAGCACCTTTAAAGTATCTTCTAACATACAAGTTAAGTCAAGACCACCTTGAGTTGTTTTTTGACTCCATCCGAGGATCAGGAGGATTTAACAATAATCCAACAGCACAACAATTCACTGCTGCATATAAGCGACTTTTACTTCGAAGCCATATTGAAGGAGGTTCAGGGAATTGTGAAAAACTAAACACTGCACAAATTTTAAACATCTTAGACGATTCTGTTACAGTAAGCAATGAGAGTATAGATATAACCTCAATTAGCATAATGAGAAAATACGACCTTTCCGAAAGACCAGCTAAGCTAATTGATCACGATTATTCTTTTATTTGTAATATTTCATTGCTAACTGAGTATAAAAAGGCAGCTATTTCTTATATATCAGGTTTCGTTGTTGGAATGGTAAAAAACAAATATTTTGTATGTTATGCTGTAATGTTCCAGAATCTAATTTTCTTAAAGTAAAAGATAGTGGTGGCCTTATAAAACCAAAAAAAGATGTTATTGTTGTTTGTGAAGAAACTGAAAAAAAAATTGTGAGAATGCTAGCAACAATACCTGGAAAACTGCCACATTCCAAGAACATCCCAGAAGCTATATCTATTTCAGTTTTAGAAGACTTAGGTTCTGATATATTTAAAGATTTGGATGAACACATGTTTGATACTGGGATTAATGAAAATCACGTGTTTAAGTTAATTAAAATAATCTCTCACTGTTATTGCAAAGTGAGACTATATGATCTTGGAAAACAAGCCACTGAGAAAGTGGCAGGAAAAAATATTCGAAAAAAATTTAGTAAATTAGTATTATTTAATCACCAATAAAGACAAGTTTTACATGTTTTATTGTAAGCATATATATATATATATATATATATATATATATATATACACTGTGTCAAAAAAGTTTTCATCCACCTATCCTGTACATCTTTCAGACGTGATAACTTTACATTCAGCAAAGATATAAGCATAATTTCAACTTAATTATATCAGTTAACCATTCAAGAAGTATTGTATAAAAAGATTTTACAAAATAATGAATAGAAATTAAAATACAACATTTAAACATAAACAATGCCTGTTTTTGCGCCAAAAAAGTTTTCAACCACCCTGCACTCCAACCTCAATTTGTTATTAAATCAGTATTAAAGTATCATTTTTAAAATATAAATTAGATTTAGTAAGATTTTTGTATTTTTTTTTTTTTTATATGAGTTTTTTATATTTTTTATTTTTGTTAGATTATTAATAAAAATGAGAGTTGCAGAGGAAATTAGATTGCTTATTGTTAGACTATGGAAAGAGGGAAAATCACAGCGAAATATAGGAAAAATAGTAAAGAAATCACGTGCAACTGTGCAGTCTATTATTAAGAAATACCAAACCACCAAAAAAATTGCTGATAAGCCACGTACAGGGCGTCCAAATAAAATTCAAGTATTGCATCGACGAGTTATATTAAGAACAGTCATCCAGAATCCTAAAATAAGTGCTCCAAAACTTGCTGGAATGCTGCAAAATGATTACAATTTAAAAGTGGACCCTGAAACTGTTAGAATAACCTTAAGAAGAGCTGGATACAATGGTAGAGTACCATTGAAAAAGCCCTATATCAGCAAAGTCAACAAAGCCAAACGACTACACTTTGCAAAACTTTATATCAATGAACCACAAACATTCTGGGAATCGGTCCTTTTCAGCGATGAATCAAAATTTAATGTGTTTTCATCAGATGGAAGAGTTAAAGTTTGGAGAAAACCAAATGAAGCATTTAAAAAACAAAACTTGTGTCCAACGGTGAAGCATGGCGGAGGAAGTGTTTTAGTGTGGGGGTGTATGAGTGCTTCAGGTGTAGGAAACTTGGTTTTCATTGATGGAAATATGGATCAAAATGTGTATTTAAACATTCTAAAAAATAATCTGGAAGAAAGTGCCCACAACTTGGGACTTACTAGGTCATTTACTTTTCAGCAAGATAACGATCCAAAACATACTGCCAAACGTGTCAAGGAATGGCTTATATTTAAAATAGCTAAGCAACTTCATACACCCCCACAATCTCCAGATTTGAATCCTATTGAACATCTGTGGGATGAATTGGATAGAAGAATTAGGACCCACGATGTGAGGAATCAACAACAACTCCAATTAGTAATTATGAAAGAGTGGGGCTTAATCACTCCAGAAATTACTAAAAAATTAGTTTGTTCAATGAAAAACAGACTACACGAAATAATAAAAGCTCGTGGTGGAAACACAAGTTATTAAAACACTAATAAATTGAGTTCGTATGACAATTTTATTTGATTTTTGTAAAGTGGATGAAAACTTTTTTGAGACAAAGATGTCTATCTTTTATTCCAAAATGCTGTATTTTATTTGTAACTCATTACTTTAAAAAACTTTTTTTGTACAATATTTCTTAAATGTTTAAATGATATAATTTAGTTTATATCATGCTTGCATCTTTGCTGAATAAAAAGTTATTGCATTTTTAAAATGTGCAAGATAAGTGGATGAAAACTTTTTTGACACAGTGTGTATATATATATATATATATATATATATATATATATATATATATATATATATATATATATATATATATATATATATTTTATATATATATATATATATATTAGGTACGTGGACTGATTTTTTTTAATTGAACATATACTAGAATGTTATATATCATTAGAAAGCCCTTCAAAAATGTATTTTAATGGTGAAAAAATTATTAAAAACGAACAATTTAAAAAAAAGTTATGACGTTTTTAGTAGCAAATTTTCAATATATGGATTTCTTGAAGGAACTGGTTCCAAAATTAATTTTTTTTTCACTGAAATTGTTATAACTTTGTCAAATCTTATCCAAATGCCTATACCTTGGTATCAAAAGATAGATGTAATAGTAGGCTACAAGTTCATATAGCTCTATAGATAAAGGGGTGTCTAGAGGGCCAGAGGGGGTAACGGAACACCATCGAAACCTTAAAAAAATGCAAGTTTTTCACACGAAAGAGTATTTTGCTGATAAAATTTGTTATCTTTATACACAAAAAGTTGTTCTAATTTGCTTCCATTACTTTTCCAAATATTATTGGTCTATTTTAGATTAAAGGGTGGATGTATTTGTTATGTTTTAACACCCTTGTAGTGAAATGTTACCATCTTATAAATATTTGAGCCTAAAAAACACTGATTATATTTTGTGTTAAAGACTTTAAATTATATTTTTTTACTTAACAGAATATACAAGTGGTGCATAAATTGACATTAGGGGCGGAACGATGACACGCTTAACGCCCCTCCCTCCCCCCTTCCTCTCAGTCTTCTCCAACCTAAAAAAAAATTTTAAAAGATATTTAAAAAATGGTTTTAAACTGAGTTAATTTAAAAAGAGAAATTAGTATTTAAGATTATTTTACCATGTTAGTGAGGGGAGGGGTGTGTGCCACGCCCAACGTCCCCCCCCCACCTCTTCTTATTTAAATTTTAAAAAAATATCAATAAAAATTTCAAAAATGTCTTTAAATTGTGTAAAAAGCGAGACATAACTCTTACCACATTACAAGATGCAGGTTGGAGTATCCACCCTAAAAATTACCCACAGTTTTAAAACGTTTTAAAATACAAATTATAGAATTTATGTCTTGGCTTTTAGTAAATGATATTATTTAAAATTCCAATAATGAAACTAAATAAATCATTTTTAACAATAGACACCACGAGAAGGTAAGCCAAAGCCGTCTATCAAAAAAAATTTGCAAGCTACACAACTTGCTGTACCATATTTGCAAGCTAAATTCTTTTTCACTCCATCCTGTAACACACATCCACTCTTTTTTGGACCCATAATTCCTTTAAAATGTATATTGAGCGTTACTATATTATAATTTTAATTAAATTTCTTAAAAGGTAAATCAATAACATATAATAATTTGTTAACATTCCATAACATTATAATGCAACATGTAAACAAATGTATTAAATAAAATATAATTAAAAAATCTCGTTCATACCTCACAAAACAAGTATTGGTTGCAAGGAAGAAGTATTTCAATATTAACAATGCTAATATAATTTTTAGGAACTGTAAACATAAGCCAAACAAGTTTAAGATTAATGAATGTCAAAGAAACAGTTTCAATAAACTAAAATATAAATAGTAAAAATGTATAAGACTCTTAACATGTATAAACTTTTGAAAGTTACACATATATTTATTATATTTATTATGGGCTACAAAATCCTTCAAAAATTCTTTTAGTACATATAATATAAATAGTACAAATGCAAAAGACTCTTAACATTTATCAACTATTGAAAGTTACACATATATTTATTATATTTATTATGGGCTAAGAAATCCTTCAAAAATTCTTTTAGTACATAAAATATGAAAACTATTTATAGTTACAACTTTAATAATTTTTATACTACAATTTTTAAAGACATTGAAAAAAAATATTTTTCTTACAAACTAGTTCACTTGTCAGTGTTTCATTTTTAAATTATTTTGGAAAAAAAATTAAACTTTAATAATTGTAAAAATTAAGACAGCATGTAAAACAAACTTGATAATGTTAAATATATATTTTTAATACAAAAAACTTCTTCTTCAACTGCTACCATTCTTTCTTCGCCTACGCCCTCCTCCAAGGTGATATCCCCTTCTGCACCATATGTAAGATTAATCTTTTTTTACTGTATCCGCAAACATAACTCCACTTTTTTTTGAACCTATATATATATATATATATATATATATATATATATATATATATATATATATATATATATATATATATAATATATATATATATATATATATATATATACACACACAAAGAGTTAATATACCATACTTTTAATTTAATTTTTTGAAAAGTAAACAAACAATATATAAAAATTTGTTAATAATTAATAGCATTATAATACAACATGTGAAAAAAAATCTCATACATACCTTCTGCAAACAAGTAATGGTTACATAATTATAATATTTAGGAACTGAAAACATAAGTTAACCTGGTTTAAAATCAAACAATTAAACTGGTTTAAAACCAATTAATATTCTTAACTCAAAAATTAAGTATATAAACCAAACAAAATAAAGAACAGTAATTAGGTATGGAAAAGATATTTAACATTTATCAACTCAATAAAACATTACATATAAATTTGAAACTGCATTTAATATAGGCTATGAGAAAACCTCAAAATTTCAAAACCTCAAAAAATCCTAAAACTTTTAATTACATTGAAAAGATACAAAACAGGTCCCTTGCAAACTACTACATCTGTCAATGCTTTGCTTTTAAACCATTTTGTGAAAGATTTAAAATAAATAAATCAAATGTTAATAATTGCGAAAATTCGGACAAAATGGAAAACAAACTTGATAATGTTATATATTTATTTAAAAAAAAAATAAAGGAGTGGTGGCGCCTAGTAATAGTGGATGCCACCATTCACAAGGCCGCCACCATTCCGTCTTCGCCCACGAGCTCCTCCACGATTTCCTCTTCTGCTGGAGCTTCCAGCACCCCTGGACCAAAGGTAAAATTTTTTAAAAATAAAAATACAATTTACTTGCTATCGATAAGATATGCATGCACATATTAAAAAAATACTTTTACACATGTAAATTATGCATACACATATTAGAAAATAATAGTTTATAAACGTACCACTTGTAGCAGCTGAAGATGTAACTAAAGGTTAACAAAGTTGAAATAAAAATAAATATTGTGATTGCTAAGAAATGCATAAACATATGAAAAAGGTAAAATTTTGTAAACATACCAATTATTCCAGATGTAGATGGAACTAAGTTAAAAAAAGTGTAATAAAAAATTAATATTGCAATTGATCCGAAATACATACATACATGAACAGGCTTTTTGAAGGATGCAATAAAAATATTTTTAAGCTTACCACTCAATGCAATTGAGGATGGAACTAGAGCTAAAAAGTTTTAATAAAAAATAAATTTGCAATGTTCAAGAAATGCAAAAATTAAAAATTAATAATTGCTAAACTTACCACTAATTGCAGATGAAGATGTTGCTAAAGGTAAAAAAAGTAATAAAAAAAATAAATTTTGCAATTGACGATTTTGAAATTGGTATTAAATCTATTTACAGATTAAAAAGTACTAGCTTTTAAAATAACAAACCGTAGCAACTGATAAAAGGAATGAAGATCAAAAATAACATAAATTAAACCAAGATATACATTCTTATATTTGATAATCTAGTTATCCTATACAAACTTACCTGTGGTAGGTTACAAACTTACCTGTGGTAGGCTGGGTAGATTGAACTAAAAATAACAAAAAAAGTGTATAATTACAACAAAACACTATGAAATTATGAAAGAATCATAGTTATGTGGAAGATGCAACAACTGTATTAACATAATGAAAACTAACAGTGAAAATGTAAAGAAAATATATTAATAAACAACAAGCTAACATTAGGAATGGTTATTCACTTTGTTTATATATTAATTACATTATATTGGTTGTGGTTATATATAAAATATGTTATTTATACTTATGATATCTCAAAAAAGCTTCATAATGTGCAGCAGGATCTAAACAACATGTAAACATTAGGCATGCTTGTATTATGATTTAAATAATAATCCAAAGATAAAGAAGTATACAATCCAAAAATAATAAAAGATGATAACAAGATTATAAGTTTTATTATATTTGAAAAATGCTAACAAGATTTTTGCAAGTAATAAACCAATGAATTATCTGATTTGTATGTTGTGTCATAATAAAATTGACAACAGATACTAATAGTTAACAATACATTCAAAAGCAAAGTTTTAAATTGAAGCATTAATCTTATTTTTAATGAAACATATAAAAACAGATTAAGAATTAATCTGTTTTTATAATATACAAACAGATAAATTATAGTTACATAAAAAAGAATTTTAAATAAGAAAGTATTAACAAATGATATATAAACATTTTTTTGATTTAAAATAGTTATTATTGATATTATTATAAAAGAAATTAAACTTACTATCTGTTATAGATCTAACAACATCTCTGTTACAAACAGTGTTAGTATTCATTTTTTTTTTTAGTCTAAAAATAAAATTCAAAATAATACGATATTGGGATTTGTTATGTTTTTGTATAGTCGGCCCCCCTATCCACACCCGTAACACGCTTAACGAAAAAAAACAACAGAAAAACCAAAATTATGTACCAAAAGTCTAACACCTAGTATACTATCTGCTACCAATTATTTTTCGTTGATTTTTGGCAGGTGCTTAGAAAATGCATGTAAAATATAGAAAAACTAACAAAAAAAGCCGGCTCAACATTCCTTCGACATTAAATTAATGTGAGAACAGGGACAATATTTTCATGCAATATTGTCAGCAAAATAATACATAAAAATGTTGGGTAACCATGCATAAAAGTCATATAAAAATCTAGATCTACCTTTCTTCTTTATGAAAATAATTTATGTTTATGCATGTTTCTTAAAACAAACACAAAAAAAAAACGTTTACCTAAGGCTACCTAAAATAAGTGGTATAAGTAATATAATACATTTTAAACTATCTGCTACCAATTATTTTTCGTTGAAATTTGGCATGCCCATTGAAAATGCGTGTAGAAATATGTCTAAATAAAAAAAAAAGCCGGCTCAACATTTCTTCTACTACAAATTCATGTGAGAACACCAACCAAATATTCAGAAGCAAAATAATCGATAAAAAAGTGTAATAACTATGCATAAATTTTTTAAATAAAGCAAGATTAGCTTTTCTTCTTTCCAAAAAGTATCTATGTGTATATCTGTTTCTAAAAAGAAATTCCACAAAACTACGTCTGCCTCAGGCTGCCTTAAAAAAGAGTGAAAAAAACGAGAACCAAAATTTTAGCACAAAAATCGGTTCCGTAAATCGGGATATCCGCGTAACTATATATATATATAAAATATGTATATATATATATATATATATATATATATATATATATATATATATATATATATATATATATATATATATATATATATTACCTTATAATATATAATATATAAGTTAAATATTACCAACAATAAACGGTATTTTGTTCAGCTTGTACTTTAATTTTTCCTTCTGTTTACATTTTTTAGTAATCATTACCAAGAATTTTTTAAACACATGCAATAACTTTGTATTTAAAGAAGATATAGTGACTTTATTTTCTATATATATTAAGTGTAATAGCGACTATAATAATTTTTAATAATAACTTACTTTTAGAAATATTGTAGATAGCATATTACTATTATTATTATAGCTTATTACTAATATTATTAGCATACAATAAAGATTACTAACTTACTATTAAGAATTTGATATTTCCAGCTTGTACTTCGTTATCATACTTTCTATAATATCAACATAAAAATCTAGAGAAATGATTTAAAGAATACTAATTATTCGTTAGACATTTTACAACAGATTTTTACTATTTTGCTGATGTTGCGTGTTTTTTTTATTGCTAAATTTGCTCAATCCATTTTAATTAATTTTATTCTTGCTTTTTGAAAATTTGCAGCACCTTTTACTAAAATATCAATCAACATCATTCACTTTTTTCTTGCTTTTTGAAAAAATTGCAGTTCGTTTTCCTAATACTTTCAACGCATCAATACTTATTTTGGGACCTCCCAATATGGCCGCCAAAAAAAAATCGGCTTCAGTTTTGATATTAGAGATGCGCTATCCAGTTATTATATAGATCAGTGGGCTAACGAGATGTTTTAAAATCGGACTCTGCGAAACTCAAAAATTTTAACCAATCAAAACAGGGATCGATCTCAGGAAATAGCCGTTCGTGAAACGACACGCCTTGTTTTAGTTTTTGCCGATTTGTGCAACCATATGCACAGCACGAAATAATCATATCTTTGCAATTTTTCAACAAGTAATAGTGGTTCTTAGAAATTAAACTGTTAAAACCTTTCTAAAAACTTAGGTTCAGTTAATATGAAGCTTATATCCCTAAGTTGCTCTTTCAGAATTCAAGTTTTTTGCCGTCCTGCAAGATGGCGGACGTCGGCTTCACTTTTTAATTAAAGTCATGCATCTAGTTATATTATACGTTATTGGGACGATTCCTTATATAACGTTTTATTCAGACTAGTATATAATATAAGTAAGCTTTTCTAATAATTACATTTCTTTTTTGCTCAAGCTGTTTTGTTTTGATTTTTTGTTTGTATGTTATTATATTTAAAAAAGGTTACAAGATTGAAAAAACACGAAATATATTGTATTATCCAAATGGAAAATTTGAAACTTCAATTTTAGATTTGCCCCTCTCTTGATAATTTCTGATTGCTAAAAATACGTCATCTTCTTCTTAGTCCATAGACGCGTAAATCTTCTTCTTAGTCCATAGACGCGTAAATGTTATCTCATCCTCTCTCACGAGAGGATGAGATAACATTTTTGATTGCTTGAATATAATCAATTATATTCACATTTTTTGAATTACAAAAATGTCGCTAAAGGGGTATACTTTGTCTACGGGCTAGTGAGTATGACGCGACGCCACTGGTAATGTATGGTGTAAAAATAAAATGAAAGAGTCTGTAAAGTAGTTTTTAATTAATTAACAATTCAAGGGTGATTTTCATTGAAGAGTGCTAAATTTTAATGAAGGGTGCTGAGTTTTTATTGAAGGGAGTTAATTTTTATTGAAGGGTGCTGAATTTTATTGAAGGATGCTGAGTTTAATTGAAGGGTACTGAATTTTATTATAGGGTGCTCAATTTTATTGAAGGGTACTAAATTTTATTGAAGGGTGCTGACTTTTATTGAAGGGTGCTGAATTTTATTGAAGGGTACTAAATTTTATTATAGGGTGCTCAATTTTATTGAATGGTACTGAATTTTATTGAAGGGTGCTGGATTTTCATTGTGTTGAACCAATGTAACATCTAATATTTTTTTCTTTTGATTACTACTTGCTACATTAATACGTAAAACGAGTAATCTTTTGTGTGTGTGTGTTTGGTTATTAAGATGCTCCAAGAAGACCTATTGGTCTTATTACAGAGGACCGTGAAGGAGCATTTAACCTGAAAGTTCACGCCTCCTTCCTTACCATTGTCGATTATTTTGCTAGTGCTGGCATCGAACCACGATCCTCTTGGTTCTGAGCCAGAACTGTAAACACTGCGCCACGGCTGCTTAAATATACTTGTATAAAGTTTTTAATTGGTATGCAGTAGGGGAAGTTCGTGTATCTAGGGTCAGATTTGAATGCCCTAATTTAAGGTCCCAAATTTGTCTAAAAATGTGAAACTTTTATGATCACATTTCTATACTAATTATTTTATATTAACATTGGTATAATGACTTAAATATTAAGTCATGTAGAAAGGTTTGAAAATCAGTGGTCCTAGGTACAATAAGCTTTTTTTTTTAGTTATATCTAGGGCCACTAACTATTTTATCTAGGGCTACTAACTATTTTATCTAGGGCAACTATCGGAAAAGTAGATTTAAGTCTATAGCAATAAATTGTCATGCATCACTTTAAAGTATACGAATTTGTATAAGATATTTACACCATCTATCTCGTGATTAAAGAAATTCTTTATCAGAGAAACACACATATGACCCTAGGTATAAGACTTGATAGTCTTAAAAAACGTTATCTAACAACAAATGCGGATTGAGAGAAAACTTATTGAACATTGCATATAGTACTAAAGTTACAGACAGTATAATTTAAAAGAACCCATATAAAAGCATTTCCTCTAGGATTGTAAAATGATATAAGATACCAGCAGCAAAACTTTATAATAGACCATCAAAAAACATTTAGAACTTGCCGTGTCTATGCAAGTTGACACGGTAAGTTAAGCTTTTTATGATATTCTTGAGAAAACTCGTCACAGCTTACGTAACATTATCAATTGTATGTTGTTATGTTATGTATGTTACATTATCAATTGTATGCATATTATTTCAAACTTAGAACATTTAGGTTATTAGAGGGAAAAAAAAAAGTTTTTTCTTAACATTGAAATAATTAAAAAAGTTTTTAAAGAAAGTCAACTGATAAAGAAAAGTTAATAAAAATTTCTAAATAAAATTTAACAAAAATTTTTTGATTTGTATTCTCTTTTTTAAACAAATAAACAAATTTATGAAAATAAAGTATTTATAAAAAAATATATAAAAATAAACAGTCATTCTTGCAGAGGCGGATCTAGCATTTTTTGGTATTTGAGATAACTACTAGACATGGAGCCAACTCCAAACATTTATGTTTATAGTTATGTCAAATAAAGACGATTTGCAAAAAAATTGCAATGGTTTCGAGTCTGGGACCAAAAAAAACTATTCCCAAAAACTATTCACAAAAAAAAATATTCCACCCCCCCCCCCCCACCTGCCCAAAAAAATGAGAGCAGCAAGTTGATAAAATGTTTTTATTACTATTTTTAACTAGATTTCCAACAAAAAAAGTACTTCGGAAGTATTTATTTCCTAGGAAATAAGAGTTAAATATTTTACGAATACTTAGTACTCTACGAGTATCTATTTTCTGAGAAATAAGTACTCCACGAGTGGAAAATAAATACCCCGGAGTCATTTTAAGCTGTTATGCAAGAAGCTGAATAAATTTAAACATCTAATGGTATTAGATGTTGAAAGCTGAATTAATAGTATTTGTAATTATTGTTATTAATTATTTTAATTAACAACAAAGAATAATAGCAAAGATGACTTTCAAATGTTTACATTCTCGTTTTCAAAAAAAGGTGCGCGCGCAAACTTGTAGGTAGAAAAACAAATAATCGGAAATTTTCCAGTAAAAACATATTTGTTTTTTATATTTATTCACTGATTCATTGATTTAACGAGAAATATATTATGCCAACCAGTTGTTGTGCAGTTAGTAGCTCAAACAAATTTAAAAATAAATGTGGATTGAATTTTATAAATTTACATCAGAAAAAATCCCTTATGAGAAAAGAGGACGTATACTATATCTTTACTATATCTCTAAATTGTACTAATAAAACTAAAATTAGGGCTATTAAATACAAAAAATATTGCTTTTTGATTTAGACTAGGCCCAGCAGGGCCTGGCTGGGGTGGTCGTGTTTCAGACAAACAGATAACGTTTGAGTTTTTTCAGAAGCTTAATCCTGGAGACTGTGCTTTTGCTGACAGAGGATTCAATATTAAAGATGAACTAAATGCTGTTGGAGCAACTTTAAAAGTTTACGAAAGGTAGACAACAATTATCTGGATGGGAAGTGGATACATTTAGACAGATATCTAATGTTCGCATACATGTGGAAAGAGTGATTGGTCGAATAAAAAAGTTCCGCATTATTCATATGACTGTACCTACCACTCAAATGTATTAGATGATATTGTGACTATTATTTGTGCTCTTGTAAATCTCAATATGAGTGTAGTTACTCGATTAATGTAAAATAAAAACAAATTTACATAGAATTAATTTTTACAGTTTTAAAACCTAAATACATATTAAAGGAGAGTAATATTTGTTATTGTTTATTACTTGGTTTCACATTCTTTGCGTAACCAATTAGTACTTTTAGGAGCTCTTTTCAGTCCAACACAAGCGTAATGAAACCATTCATATTTGCAGTTAGTGAAATTACATGATATCATTTTTTCAAAACTTGGTCTTTGGCATATGCGGTAAACTTTTATTTTATGTCGATTTATTATTACGACGTGTCACAAGCTCTGGCAATAAAATGTTTTTGAAATATGTAAAAAAAAATTATTTTCATTTTTCTTTGGTAAAACTTTATTTTTAAATTAAATGTTAAAAATAACCTATGATTTTATAAAACAGAATTTGCTCCTAATCAATATTTTATTATAAAAACATTCTTGAACAAGTGAAGTAATCATATGCTCCCAAGGATTTATAGACTCTGATTGATTCCTTCATGTATATGCTAGGTGTATCAATTAAATCTTGAGTAACGTCTTGCCATATAATGTTTGGCAAATGATTGACATCATAGCTCCATTCTTTTGGTTCGATTATAAACGGATACGGTAAAACTTCCCCATTTTTAAGAGTTAGTTTTGTATAATCTATTGCTTCTTCTAATATTAGACTTTCAAAATATTCACTCATGATATTGTTAACTATTTTGAAAAATTAAGTGTTATTGTTGACTTCCAAATACAAAATATATTTAAAAAGAGAAGAAAAATTGCAAGAGCAAGTGTAATTTTCAAATTTAAAATGAGTTTAAAATCTGTACAAGAACATCTGTTTAAAAAATTTTTTAAACCAAAGTTTTTATTAACAAAAAAATTTTTTATTACTAAACTTTGTTTGAATTAATTTTAATCATTATTCTTTCAATAATTTTTTTAAAGGAAATATTGATTTTAGGGTACAAATATTGATTTTAGGGTATAAAAGAGAAATACAAGAAACATTAAAGTTCTTGCGTTTTTATTTTTTCTACCTACAAGTATGCGCGCATGTTGTTTACAAAAAGATGTGACGTCGCACGGAAACTATTAAAATTATACTTTATATAAATAATATAGTATAGTTATATATAAAATTCCTTTAGGAACTCTTAAAGAACTTCCTTCATGGATCTAACTTTCGATAAAATGAAAAAGTAAGTAAAGCAGAAATAAGTGAGTATTTTTCTTTCTAAATTTATAATTTTTATAATCCATATAATCTATAAATTAATTATGGTTATAATGACGCATTAAAAAAAAAAACAATTGTTAAAAATCACGCACCGTTTTAATAAACGCTTAAATGAAAAAATAAAAAAATTATTTTTAATGTTAAAGCATTTTATTTAGACTATGGGAGGTCTAGAAACTAGATTTTATCTCCTCTCTCGTTTTAAAAATATTTATACGTATGTAACAAATTGATATTTGCTCAACAAAATCAAATTTGTTTTTATAATTTCAAAATAACAACTATAACTTAGTTCAACCGAACGTCATTTGTTGATGAGAAGGCCAATCTTTGCTTTTGTGAAGCTCCTTAAAAATATGTTTGTATTTGTTTTTAGGGACTTTTTTTCTTCTTATGCAATCAGCAATTTTTTTGGCAATCGTCGTTTCCAAAAAATATTCTAATAGTAGAGACAAAGAAAAATGGCACAATGCTAATCCGATTAAAAAAATAGGATGCTCAGGATTTGGTGATTCAACTAAGTCCATAAGAAGCAATACTTTTCGTTCCGGGTAAATAGTTATATAAAGAGTAACAGTAATTGAAATTGAGCATACAATTCCGTATACATAATTATAGTAAAAACGACTACGATAAGGCTGCCCTTTTAAACAAGCAAACGATAATCCAATAATCATATAGTATGAAACAATAATAATAACATTATTTTCGTAACACTTATAGTATATACCTTCATAAGTTTCAAACTCATTTATAGGAACATACCAACTCATTTTTTGAATTAAAAAAAAGCCAGTGAGTTGTATACCAATAATAAGTAGGACTTGTAAAACAATTCCACCAATAAAAATTGGATGAACAAGTTTACCCAGTGGACGCTTTAAAGCTAATTTACTACTTGCGCCAGACAAAGTCATGGCAAACACAAGTGGAAGATTTAAACCAATATCAGTGTAGACGTATTGGTTGTTTGTGAAATTTGATGAAACCCCATATAGAGCAATGACACCAAAGAACTCAACCATGCTGTAAAGAATCATATACTTAAATGATCCAAAAGCTGTAACAAGTGATGCGCGTCCCTCCTTTATAAGAGTCGGAACGCAAGAGATATTAAATATTTTTGACGTAAATGGCGCTGCTATCGATGCTTCTGCGCAAGACAATGCAATACCTAAAAAAATAAAAAATTTAGCGAAAATTTTATGAAACAACAATAATCAAAAGCTAATAATAAAAGTTCGAATTTATCACTAAACCCATTTTTTAACGTCAGGATTTTAAAAATTAGATAAGTTTCATATTTTAAAAAATTAGCTATCAATTGAAAATGATAAAAATTACAAGTTTCTTTTTGGCTAAAAAAAGAAAAATTAATGAAAAATTTTTTTTACATTTGCTTGCCATCCCCATTTTTAGGTAACGTTAGGGAATAGTGAAGTACAGTGGATCGATTAGGATTTTGCTCACCATGTTAATTTAATCATTTTATGTGCTCATATTTAAGTCATCTTTATTTATAGTTGTTAGGGGTCGTCCATAAAATACGTACGCCAAAAATTTTGTGCCCATTTGCTAATTTAAGGAGCTTTTTATTTAAGTAAAACCTAGCGGTAAAATTTGGGAGATTTTGAGACTCAAATGACCTTTTTTTCGGGGGTTTCCGACCCATTAGCCACGGCACTGCTAAAACCTGTTTTTTGTCGACTCAAAAAATAGGTTGCCTGAAATACGCCTTACTCTGGGCCAGTATATACGGGGTGGCATGTGTGCCCGTAGGATTTTTTGATGTTTTAGATAGAACACTTTCACACATTTGGCATAGGTATACTTAAGTTTGGAGCTTGCACAAGCTCCAAACATAAGTATGCCTATGCCAAATGTGTGAAATTTGTGTAAGCTCTAAAACTTAAGTTAAACTATGCCAAATGTGGAGGCCTTGCAAAAAAATTGATGGCGGAGGCCTGGGAACAAAAAAGCCCTAAAACGCTTGCCCCCTGCCTAAGCGTGAGGGCACTAGTGTAGTAAAATTTCAACTTTACCATATCAAATTAAATTTAAATTTATCGACAAATTTTAAATTTCGTAGAAAAATATTGTAAATTACAAAAGTTATGACCATACAAAATTTACACCCTCCTCTTTTTTTCTTTTGGGAGGGGGTGGTGCGTTTTAGGGCTTTTTTACTCACAGACCTCCACATTTAGCGTAGGTATAAACATACTAAAGTTTAAAGTTTGCACAATGTGTGAAAGTGTCCTATCTGAAACATCAAAAAATCCTGCGGCCCCCTATGCATGTGTGTGCATTGAGCGAAACTATACCCTCTACTCCCTATACCAAACATCTTTTATGTTGGCAAACTAGGATCTTTAGTCGAAATTTTAACTTTACTATTGATTAGCTGGTTAATTGTGATAAATTAGAAAATCGATGTACGTACATTTAAATTGAACCCTCCCCCCCAGTACGTTTTCGTACGCTTTTTGAAGATCTCCCCCTCCCCCTGTGAGCGTACGTACTTTATGGACGACCCCTTACCATATAGTTTTTGACTACCGGTTTTTAACCGCAATCTTTATTTTTAGCTAACTAAAAGTAAATTTTACTACCTTCCTTAAGTTTCACGACATAAACTACATTAATTAGGTTTCTTTGCTTCGCTTATTTAAATTAATTTCATTTTACCGATGGAGAAAATCCTTTTTTCTTAAATGATTGAAGTTCTTATTTTATTACTATTTTAATAAAAAAAAATCAATATATTATTTTAACAATAATATATAACAAATTATGTATTTAAAGCGCTTGCGCTTTTTTTAAAAACAAAGATTATTGAAAAAACAGTATTAAATATTAACTAATTAACATTAGCGGTTTTTGGAATGATTTTCATGAGCAATAGATATAAAATAATATAAATAATAAAAATAATTATCAATAAAGACTGATCAAAAATAACTTTATTGCTTTTAAGAACATTGAGCAAACTATTTTGTAGAATACAGTTTAAAATTGTTGATATATATATATATATATATATATATATATATATATATATATATATATATATATATATATATATATATATATGTATATATATATATATATATAAATATATATATATATATATATATATATATTTACAAATACATATATATATAAATATATAAATATATATAAATATATATACATATATATATAAATATATATATAAATAAATAAATATATATACATATATATATATACATATATATATATATATATATATATATATATATATATATATATATATATATATATATATATATATATATATATATATATATATATATATATATATATATATATATATATATATATATATATATATATATATATATTAGCCAATCCCATTTTGACCCTCATGAACAAATTTTAATATGCGGAATGTCGTAAAATATTCCCATGATATTGTTTTCTTAATGAAATTTTTTAATTTTTTAATTTAGATGACTATTTATATTATTATTATTATTATTATTAATTGAATTACACAGAACGGGCGTGTTCTGTAAGCCCATTAACAGCTAGCCGAGCTAGCTTGTGGGAAATTGCACGGAAGATGATGCGCTGTGGTAATTATGACAGTTCATTGAATTTTGCTTTGAAGCGGTCGACGCTAATTGCACTGATTTATTCGTTTGGTAGTGCGTCCCATGGGTTAGCAACGCGGTTATTGAAAAAGTTGAAACGAACGAGGCAGTTGTTATCCATTTCACGGTGAAAGCGATGGCCGTATTTAGGAGGGATGCTAGGTGGAACAATATGCCAGCTGACTGAATCAATATTGTTTTCAATTTTATATTTTTGGACAAGTTCGCCGCGTAAACGTCTGTCGTGTAGAGAGGTGAGGCCAAGTTTGATGCATCTCATCTTGTAGTCAAAGCGCTTTAACTTGTGTGGTACTTTAGAAGCCCGCTTTTGGATGCGTTCTATGATGTCTATGTCTTTTTCAAGGTAAGGGGACCAGACAGTAACTACAAACTCGAGATGTGGGCGTATATAGGTGGTGTAAAGTTGTTTCCATACTTTGACATCTCTGCTAACGAATGTGTTTTTTAACATTCCAAGAACTTTATTAACCTTGACAGCAGCAACTTTTGCTTGCCTCTCATACTTTAAGTCGTATTTGAATATTTGAAATGAATATTTGAACTCCAAGGTCCTTTTCGCAGGTTGATGATTCGAGTTCAGTTCTGGTGACATTGCCGTTAGCGTCGTGCTCGTTCATTGAGTAGACGTTTGGGGAAGTGTTATATTTGCTAAAATGCATGATTTTACATTTCTTGACGTTGAGTTCCATCAACCAGGTTTGAGTCCAGGTGACGATGCTATCCATATCGGATTGCAGACAAGCTTTGTCTTCAGCGGTTTTGATGACGCTCAGGATTTTGGTATCGTCAGCATACATTTTACACACGTTTTCGCTACTAATGTATTCTGGTAAATCGTTAATAAATATTATGAACAGCATAGGACCTAGCACTGAACCTTGCGGAACGCCTTAGGTAACTCTTATCCAGGTGGATGACGTATTACCTAAAAGAACGCGTTGTGATAGATTTGAGAGGAAAACATTTATCCAGTTCAGAATGTTACCTTCAATTCCATAGTATTTACGTTTTTGCAATAATCTTCTGTGAGGGACTTTATCGAAGGCTTTGGCAAAGTCAAGAAACAGCACGTCTACTGGAAGCTTGCGGGAAATGCTGTATGTCAGAAAGCCCAGGTTTTTTTTATTGACGAAGCCGTGTTTGCAATCGGTAATAAGTTTATAAGCTACAAGATGCTGCATGATCTTTTCTTTGACCATTTTTTCCATTATTTTGCATGGTATAGAGGTGATGGAGATAGGCCTGTAGTTTTCTGGGTCGAGTCTAGAGCCTTTTTTGAACAGTGCGTCATGTTTGCCGAAAGCCAGGCTTTTGGAACTACACCTTAATCCATCGATTTCTGAAAAATGATGGCGAGTGGGGTAACCGCTGCATCGGCACGTATTTTAAGCAAAAATGGACTGATACAGTCATCTCCAGTTGATTTATTGGCGTTGAGAGCAGATAGGTGTTTGTGAACAGAATCGCAGCTGAAAATGACGGAGGAGATTAAAGCAGTTGTACGGTTGACAAAGGGAGGTAGTGGTTGACCTGATGATTCGATTGTGAATACTGAGTGTACCTGGCAGTTAAGTATATTCGCTATGGATACCCGGTCGCTGCTTATTTCCCCAGAAGGTGAGCACATAGAAGTTATTTGGTTACTGACGGCGCGTTTATTGTTCACATAAGCGAATAGACGTTTGGGGTTTCATTTATCGTTTGCTAAGTTGCGTTCGAATGCTCTAATGGCAATGCTAGAAGCTTTTTTGAAAAGAATTCGAGTTACTCTTTAACAAGAGGGATAATTCGCCTCTTTTTTAACAAGAGGGATAATATCCCTCTTGTTAAAGAGGGATAATTATCCCTCTTTAACAAGAGGGATAACTCTATACTCTTTAACAAGAGGGATAATTCGCCATTTACTATTGCGGTTTAGGTACCAAAGTTCTTACGTTTAATTAGTAAGAGAAGTTTGCTAGTTATCCAAGGCTGCCTATGTTTGGTTGGTTTGGAGGTGGCACGGGGAATAAATTCTTCACAGCATTTGATATAGTTATCGCAGAAGATTTGATAGCATTCGTCGGCATATCAGTCTTTAAATCGGCTGATCCAATCAACTTGGGAGAGTTTCACGTTTAGATTCCTGTAATTACCTCTCCTGTATATAAATTTTGAGCTGTTAAAACGGGGAGAGTTGTAGACGTTTTTGGCTAGCTGGTGTTGCCATGTCAGAGTTCAGTGACCCTGTGAGGCACTACCAAGAGGAGGACCAAAAGTGATGTGGCTTGTTCGCTCGGTCGCTTCAGTAATTATGAGGTTTAGTGTAATTTTGAACAGACCCTTAGCTTGGATGAAGGTGGGATTGATTACGTGCTGGTGTAGATGTAGGTCAAAAATCATTTTGGGAAATTTAGTTCCAAAACTTGTTTCAGCACCAGTGGTATTGGTCCAATCGTCATGCTATATGACGTAGGGAAAGTTAAAATCACCGGTGATTATTAGACTGTTAAATTTTTTGTTTTCTACGGTCTTTTTC